CCGTGGTCTCGATCGCGTCAGCTCCAGTCCAGCCCACGCCTCACACAGGCCCTCCTCCTCCAATCAACACAGTCATCCCAGTCGCTCAAGTCATCCCAATCAATTCACTTGGCTCAGATCGTTTGACTTTCACTTCACCGGATCTTCCATGGCTCCCAGAGTCTGTTGTTAAAGCTATCGAAGTGAACTGCGGGCCGCCCATTCGAACGTCCATGCTGCCGGTCATGCCAACAGGAGAGGACCTCGCCAGCATTCCACACGGAATGGCCCTCTGCGACTTCGACAGCGGCATCCAGGGCGATCTGGTGCTAAAGGTGAGTAAGGTCGGATGTTCAGAGGTCTCTTTCAGCCATTGCAATTCCATGCTAAAACGACCCAAGAACTAAGTCACCCAATTTTAATTGAAAATATGAAGACCAACATGTTGTTGCCTTTGGTATGGTCACAATCCCCTTTCGATTTATAGAAGTGGGTTAACCTCGTTGTCGCAGCTTGGTCTTGTTGTTGTCATGGCGACTTAGTAGAACGCACCTAGCCCGAAGTCGTCTGCCATTGCAGTTGTCATGATTCCCAGAATCAGACAGTGGACTTGGTACTTTCTCAAGCGTCTCGCCGACATCGTAGTCGGCATCATCAGTCATTCTCCGAAACGAGCTACGAACTCGTCAAAGAGACAAGTCTGCGACCTTCTTGGTCTTCATATCTTCAGTTATGATGGGGTGGCAGTGGGATTAGAGGCTAAAGAGTAGATAGATAGACCAGGACACAAAGAAGAGTGATAGTGTAACCGTGTTCGGCAGAACGTTGGTCGACGGATTGACTTGAATTGTCTCTTTGGCCTGTTCGTAGCTCAAAATTAACGGATGATGCCGACTAAGGTGCCGGCGAAACGTTTGTGAATGTACCAAGTTGACTGTCTGATGCTGGGAATCATGACAACTACTCTGGCAGACAACTTCGGACTAGGTGAGTTCTACTGAGTCACCCTGACAACAAGACCAAGTTGCTACAACGAGGTTAACCCACTTCTATAAAATGAAAGGAGATTGCGACCATACCAGAGGTCACCACATCTTGGTTTTCATATCTTCAGTTGCGATAGGGCGGCAGTGGGATTTGAGGGTAAAGAGTAGATAGATAGACCAGGACAGAAAGACGAGTGATAGTGTAACCGTGTTCGGCAGAACGTTGGTCGACGGATTGACTTGACTTGTCGCTTTGACGAGTTCGTAGCTCGGTTCGGAGAATGACTGATGATGCCGACTACGATGCCAGCGAAACTTCTGAGAATGTACCAAGTTCACTGTCTGATGCTGGGAATCATGACAACTGCTATGGTAGACGACTTCGGACTAGCTGCGTTCTACTAATCCGTCCTGGCAACAATACCAAGTTGCGAAACCCACTTTGAAGAATGTTGAGTTTATCATTTTGTAATGTCCATATCACCAAAGTCGATGAGTACAACAATGGAGAACCCCTTGGTGGAACTCAAGGAGGACCCTTGCTACATGTTCATTTCGGAAAGAGTAATTTAAACTCCTACACTACACTAAATGGTTGTATTTCATTTAGTTTCATATAATGCATATAAATATATATAATAGTTTTGTTATACATAATTGCATATGCCAAGTTTCTTACTCTCTCCTCCCACCTCTTTGTTAATGAAGACGGGTGACATCATCTATTTGCTGGACCACGTCAATCAGGACTGGTTGTTCGGCCGGAACCGACGCACTTGGCGTGAAGGCATATTTCCAGCCACCTTCGTTGCCATCCAAGTTGACTTAGATCCTAAAACCTTCATTGGTAGTCAATTCAAACTGTCCAGACCCTCGCCCTTGAGTGGCTCTCTGTCACAGCTCCAGATTGTGCCCTCTACGGATCAGGAAAGCAGTGCAGGCGTGCCCGTTTCGCTTGGGTTTGAGTCGAAGGTTCAGCAGATCACGAAAGGGGTCTCGGTGGCCCAGCACCATGCGCCTTCCCCTCCCAACCTTCAAGTTCTGACCGCTGATGCTGCACAACCCGGTAGGCTGGAAACTGACGGGGCTTCGTTTTTCCACCATTTCTCCTCCTGGTCTGTCTTCGACGCAGGCATTTTGCAGTTCGCCTGCATACCATTTTGTGTGAATTTTCTTGTCGAAGCCAAGCCCAACTGGTCGCCCATTTGAGCACTTAATAAGTCGTCTCGGCCCTTCCTCCTGTCCTAACAATTCCAGCATTAATCTCATCATTTATTTCAGCAATTTGCATTATTTATCAACTCACTCATTCACCGAGCCTCTGATTTGCTGTAACTGTATGATGATCCATATATATATATATTGTGTGGTTACCAAATACTCTATCAATCCCATCCTCTCGATCTATGAAACTCTACAGGCCGACCTGCGTGCCAACGGATTGAGTTTGCTTTAATGACGACGAGAGAGTGAATTTTGCCATTTCCTAAGTACTCATTATTACATAAATTTTATGATATCATCCCAACTTTACATAAAAACTTAAGTCACTTTAGTTGAGCTTCCCATATTGAAATGAGGTGGAGGTGAATCTCGTTCAAGCATGCTTTTCCGGAAATAGATTTCAGTTCTTATAGAAGATTTTTTGATCTTTTCATATGCTGCCTAATTTAGTTAAAGTGGTATCGAGTGAAAGTGTGCGGTGAAGAGATTCCAAGGTCGGTTCCACCAGAAGACGACGGCAGATTCCTCGTGACCAACTGTCGATTGGATTTACTGGAACATTCATGCTTGCGCTGTTTCCGAGGCAATCACCTTCGATTCCGGTGAAAAGGTGCTAAGCTTTCGTGCGTCATATGACGGACATCATCAGAGCAAGTTAACATCGTCACAATAAAGTTCAAGCTGACGAGTCAAGAAAACTCTCCGGCAAATCTTTAAAAAGTGGTATATATACTCTACATCTGGCCTAACCAAATCACTTTATACCTGATCAAAGAGGCCAGATGTAGAGATGTAGAGTATATATATATATATATATCACTTTTTAGGGATTTGCTACTGAGTTTTCTTGACTCATTCGCTTGAATTTTGTTGGAAGTAAGCTCAACAATAATAAAACAAGAGATTCCTCGAAACCCAACTTTGTTTCGCATAAAGTGGTAGCTAAAAGTTCAGTGGAATGTAATTTGACCTATTGACCCTATTCACATCTGCTTTGTGAATCAGTGACATCCAAAGGTCACAGTCAAGTCTGAATGAAATAGCCTTTTGACAGGTCAGTTCGAAGGAAACTCGAGAGCTTTATGAGGCTTTCGACTCATTTAATTGTCGGTCCTTCAATTGCATAACTTTCCATCAAAGAAGACTCGGGTTTTTATCGAAGATCTATCAATAGTTCCAAATACTGTATATCAATTTCGTCTTATGATATTTCCACACGGGTTTCCTTCTTAATTTATTCATGCCATTTATGACGATCCCTGCTATACAGTCGTTGGGGATCAGGGTTTTTATAAGAGTCTTACTTCCCTGATTCGCACAGATCCACTCAGTGAATGACAAACTTTATTTCAATCCACCTATTTCACTCTTCTGCTCGCCGCTCCAATTCGTTTCCACACCAAGTTCCAAGGTCCATCCTCTCCCAAGGAGGAGCCAACAAGCGCGCTCCAGCAACTACCAACAACGATGACGGAGCAAGCAATGAGTTGCTCGTGAAACTTGAGGCCATGAGGCGTAGAGTCCGAAACACCGAAGATGCCGAAGATGAGGAGGTAGATGACAAGCTACAATCCAGTTTGGCGAGTGGAAAGAAGGAAAAGCAGACTGAAGTGGAGGAAGACGGACGACAACAGCAGGAGCAGGCGCATCACACAGAGCAAGTCAGATTGGTAGGTTTGCCTATTTAATCACATCACCTGGTCGCCATCTTTCATCCGGTTGTAGTCTGCTTTGTGACACTAATACTAATTAATGCTATATATAAATATATGCTATGTGATATGCTATATTTATAGTTAATAAAGTATGGGAATACCGATTATTCGTAAGTCACTCTCTCTATATAAATTAAATATTATGGCAGTTAACTGAGTGTGAAAATACCGAATCTCTGTGATTTTACCCCGATCTTCTTGCCAGTTCATTACGGTCATCAGAGGTCCCTAATAATTAATAATATTATATATATTATTATTAGTATGTATATATAATATTAATATGCTTTATTGCTAGTTAATTGGGTAGCTAAATGCCGATTCTTCCAGAGTATACTATAACTTTTATTTCTTTATTTGAAGAAATGTGTCGAGACTATGCGCTGGAATGACATGCTTTCACTTCCACTGGGGGTTTCAAAAGAGACCTAGGCGAGGTCTAAACTGCAGTCCACTCCGGATGAGAATAGCTCTTGGGAAAACAAGACTATGTGAAATTAAAATGAAAGGGTTGACTCTACTCATATAATTGTGTGAAAATGCAGCTACCAGTCGTTCATCATCTTAAAGAAAATAGGATGAATACATTTTAAATAAAGTTTTCTCTTGTTTGCAGTCGGTTGCCAATTCTCATCATAAGTCATCTTTTGTCGTACGCATTCACAGGAGCTGCTGACGGTTCTAGCCACTGACATGTTGGAGAAAGTCTAGAATTTTGCACTTGCATTTAAAGAGTTGTTTTCCTTCCGCCTGGGCTAGAGTCTACACCACGACTCACACCAAGTTGATGCGAAGCTGAATCCGGTCTGGTTCGAGGGGCAAACATGTTCAACTTTGAGAAAGCCTTGCCCAGCCGGCCAACATGCCTTCGTCTTAATCTGCGTTTCCACGATCCGATATCCACTAAACTGTGGATAAAAAACAGAATTATTTCCTTCCTTCATCGTCAACCATTTCTGCAAAGTCATATGACGTATAATTGTTGAGCTTACGTCCATTTCGAGTGAAAGTGTTGGGTGAAGAGATTCGAAGGTCGCTTCCAACGAAAGACGACGGCGGATTCCTCTTGACCATCTGTCGATTGTCTTTACTGGAACATTCATGCTGATGCTGTTTCCGAAGTAATCTCCTTCGAATCCGGCTTTCGTGCGTCCTATGACGGACATCATCAGAGCGAGGTAACATTGTCACAACAAAATTCAAGCTTACGAGTCAAGAAAACTCACCGGCAAATTCCTAAAGTTTTCTTGACTCGTTAGCTTGAATTTGGTTGTGATGATGCTACTTTGCTATGATAATGTTCTTCATGTGACGGACGAAAGTTTACTACCTTTTCACCGGAATCGAAGGAGATTGCCTGGTAAACAGCATCAGCATGAATGTTCCAGTAAGGAAAATCGACAAATGGTCAAGAGGAATCCTGTCGTCTTCTGGTGGAAGCAACCTTCGAATCTCTTCACCCAACACTTTCACTCGAAATGGAAGTATGTTCAACATTTTTGAAACCAGAGATTCCTCGATACCCAACTTTTCTTCGCATATATGACGTATAGTAAGCATGCTAACAGTAATGATTAGCCCACTTTTGATTTGGTTGGGAAAGAGGAGTGTAGGCGA